TCCAGGTCGAATGTCAAAAATTTCCAAGAAGCCAACGCATAACTCGGGAACCAATAGAGCTACAGCGCCGCGGAAAAGCGCATTCGATAGCCCTATTAACGCCCTTTCTGAGTAATTCTCTCAGATTTGACCTAACGTCAACGGTTTTGCCTGCAGGGGACAAAAACTGCAAAAATAGCCGATTTTTTGGGAAACAGTTTTTCTGCAATAACTTTTGACCCAAGCCTTGTACGAGCTTACTTTCACCGGCATCGTGTTCCTCTCGTCAAGACGCATCGAATGAACTATAACTTGACCTTGAAAGGTCAACTTGAAAATTTGACCTCAGGTCAAGGTCATGACCTGACCGGAAAGGGTCATGTTGCATATCAGTCGATCCGTATCGTCGAGCTGAACACATCTTAGGCGTTTTCATCGCTCTAGCATGCCTCTATCAAAAGTTATTTGCAAAAAACTGTTAGATACCATTCGTGACCTAAGATGACCTCAGGGCATAAACAAGGGTCACGGACACCATTTTCATGTTCAGTGTGTCTAAACCACTTGTTATTCGGTGTTTGGGAGTGTTTATAATGTCTTTCGTCCAAAAGAGGCGCATTTCAATTTTATCCCATTGACATGACATTGACCTCTCCCATTGAATGGGGAGGTCGCAAAATTGACCTGACCTTAGGTCATCGAAAGCAAAATTCTGAGATATACATTTTGTACATGCTATTGCTCTTAGCAATCGCTGAAAGTTTCAAAGCGATCGGTCACTCGGTGTAGCTATGGCAGACATTGAAACTTTTTATGAGGTGAGGTCACTTCAAGTGACCTGGTGACCTGACCTTGAATGACCTTGGTCTGAAATTTTCACAACATGTGTAGAATTGATGTATGATAAGGTGTACCAAAAACGGCGGCGCGGAGTTTTTGAGATATTCGCGAAAAACCACAAGGGGGGGGGGGTGTTCAAACACCCCCCCCCCCCCCCAGCAGGGCGCGGGTTAATTCAAGGCAGATTGTTTGGTTGCTGCCGACTCAGTCATGAGGCATGTGTTGTGAGTTAACCGAATCATAAACCGACTTGTCCTGTCCACCCTCTGCTCACCGCCCCTGGCTTTGCCGCTGTCACAGTTCAAGCCGACGGCAGTGAAGTCGCACCTGTGGAAGGACGTGACAGAGGAGGCCAACCAGCGGAGTAACCTGCCGCGGTGCGCCAGTTGCCATCGACTCACCGACTGCTGCGGTAACCGGCGGCCGGCCGCGCCCTCCCCGCTGGCCGCCGCCGCCGCCGCCCCCGCCCCCGCCCCCGCCCCGGCCGCGGCTGGGGGTGGCGCGGGCGACGGAACGCACTCCAAGTCTGACTGAGGACCGGCGGTCGGCTGGATGAAAAGTGAAAAGGCCAGAACAAGAGGATGTCGGCAGGGAAAGGCGTCAGAAACGGTGAGCCGGCGGATAGCCTCTCACCGGGTCCAGTTGGGAGGGAGCTGACGGTATCGACGGTAGAGGCTAATTGTGACTGGAGGGAACGGTCTGACAGTGTCGGTCCGCTGTATCTAACAATTTAGTGCGGGCCGGTGGGTGGGTGGGTCTGTCGGTGGGTTGATTCAGTCAGTGGAACGCTGCGCATTGGAGACATTAGCAGCGCGGGACGGCAGGACCGTGGGCTAATGTGACTGCATGCTTGAAAACGTGAAAAGGTTAAAGTGTTGTGACATAGTTGAGGGAAAATCAGGCCAGTTGGGATATATGAACGTCAAAGACAGACGGTATCACAAAATTTGATGTGCAATGCGGGTTACAATCTTAGGAATCTCGCCTCGTTGATATTTAGTGTGTTTCTTTCCAGAGGACGCTCTCGTAATTGGGAGAAGTTTGATTTATTTGTTAAAACTTTGGAAATATGGCAGGTGCAATCCGTCAGGCTGACCAAAGGAGATCGCTTATATTTTTATCTACTCGGTACGGACATGGAGCAGTAAGTTGTGAGCAGTTTTTGTGCGCTTCTCTCCCCAATTATATCTTTCGGGACAATTATATCTTTCGCCGCACTGATTAAGCTGACTCGTAACTTACTGGCACACAGAACTTGGAGCTCAATGATCAATCCACTTACGAACATTGGATTGCGTATCAGGAGCAATTCACGAATCAGGGACGTACGTCGTTGGACGATCAGCTGTTTTTGTTTTTTAAACAATCGAATTTTTATTTCCTAGTGGTCATTTGGACAACATTCCATAAAGGCGTTATTTCAAGAACGTTATGTGATATGATTTGTATGGTTATTCGCCGATTTTGTTTGCCACTGATGCAATTAATGCTGGTAGCTCTGGCGAAAATATGCAACATGCGGGGGGTAAAGTTCCTTATGTGGAGTGCTGGGTCACTCTATCGCGCTGAATCAAACCACCCTTTTCTCCATAATCCTTATCCGCACACTAGCAATGGGCGCTGAATGTGTTTTCAGCCAATTCAGCCGAAAATTGAGCCCTGTTTTGTTTGTTCACCAATCAGTTATCAATGTAATTTAATACATACTCATTTAAGCCGATTTTTTCGTTACCCACGTTTCTGCTCTTTACACCTCTGACACGTGTGCGTTGACCGCTCCTGTCATGCACTGGCTCCTATATAGGTCCTAATAACTGGCCCGGTGTTCGCTGTGCCTCGTACCGGTGCGCTTGGTTTACATCACAAGCAGGGTATTAGTGGGTACAAGGATGGTGACGTCTGAACAAGTGTGCGCGTAACTGGCTGCTCAGGAATAGGTCTTGGTGTAAAATGCCATGGGATTGTTTTCGGCGAGATTTATCTTTACTTAATGCGATGTGTTTATTTCTATGCGATTTCTTATAATTTCTTCAAATGAAGCGAGTTTAGGAAAAGTGTTGGAAATAATACAAATGATACCAACTTAGAATTTAGGTCAACGCCTTGACGCATGAGATGGAGTTATTGGGGGGAGGGGGGGGGGGTAGCATGGACAAGAATTGGGTGTGATTGGTAAGGGATGATACTTGTATTTGACTCTGGTAAACACATCTGCAGCTAGTCGACTGATTCGTTAGTACGCGGGACCGCTGATACAATGATCGGAGCATGGCATGTTCGCTCTGTATCAACACATGACTATTCACGTATTTAGCACCCGCCATGTATTGTGACAATCCACCGTCAGTGTGTGTTTCGCCTGAATATGACAGTGTAACAGACCACGCGCAACTCGTGAGTGCATTGTGTGAGTGTATATGACTATTGTATCGTTATGTTATCGTCTGTGCCGTCGGGACGTCGGGACGGGAGCTGAAGCGTTCCTCCCGGCCAGCCCAGTGTGTCCTATCATTTATGTTATTTGTGTTTGACTGTGAGTGTTCCATCGGTCGTTAGCCGTTTTGTTATTGCATGACTCATTTATGCGCCGGCATGTGGTAATCAATAAACTCAGCTCATCGTGCAATAGTCGGTCGTGTTTGAAGTTGATTCGCTTGTTGTCAACTTGATGTTTTGATGGTCGTTATAAAAAATGTTTTCTTATGATTATCATAGCTCACAGAGCAATCCACTTGTTGGTGTTAGAAAATCAAGCAGTGATTTCAGGATTCGGCGCTGTTGAACGGGTCTCACTGGGTAATTGATCACACTGCATCGATAAGAGTCGGATCCCACGTATGACGTATTTGCACCAATGCCGGTCGGCAGCCGCCAATGTTGATCTGGGGTTGCTAGGTGACCGTTGCCGTCCTGGTGTCGCCAGTTTTTGTGTCGAGGGGTGAACACTATTAGCTGTAACCGGTCAAGTTTCTCTGGAGTGAGCTGAAACTTCAGCCCCAACTGTGAACTAAGCTGGGTATTGATTGCTCCCGAAATACCATCTCTCGTAGCTGTGAAGACCTGGAAGAAAGGATTATGGACTTCGTGGCTGGCTGGGCGTGATGCCATAGAAACCGGCTGCGTTACTTCAGTGGGCTGACACGCTGCGTTCAATCGAATCGTAACTGGCTGGGCGAACTTGTCCACCTATTACCGTAACGAGCATCATTTGTCCCTGTCCCCAGCGATCCCTCGACAATCACCAGATCCAACGCAGTGGATGTCAGTGGTTCAGTCCGCCCTTACATCGAAACGGCCGTCCCGCAGCCTGCCTAAGTTGCCCAAGCACTGAACTTGCTCGACCCCCAGTGAACCTCTGGCCAATATCAAGCCTGTCGCTGCGATCCGACCCATCAGTTTGATAGATGCGACGTTCCGAAATACTAAATCGAACCATCCCAGGTTTTATGAACTCCAGACCATCACCAGATGCTGAATGCTGGGGCAGTTTCAAACACTCTTCTTGAGCCCACCCTGTCTCAGCCTGATTGGAGACTGTTCGGATCGATCAGACCTTCAGTCCGAATCCAAGAGAGAGCTCGTGTCGGCTCGATCCCACCAGAGGCTGTCCCAGTGTCCTGTCCCAATCCAGTCCCAACAGTGTTCGGGCGAGGTCGGACAGTTCCCGGTCGACACGTGTCTCTGGATCCGTTCAGCCGAGCGGCGGGCCCGGGTCGGAAATAGACCGATCGCGTATCGGGCGGGTCATCTGTCTGACACTGGTAGGCGGGCCAACCGGTGTGGCAGTGACATCTGAGGTCGCACCCGTCTGATTGAGAACGGATGGGACGTGATTAAGCTATTCGTACGGATGCAATCCAATTATCCAGTGCGCCCAACGGTCAAGAGGGGACGGGACCCGTTACACTGAGTCTGAAGTTCGACTATTCAATGAAGCATTCATTGGATTTCTTTTGGTGGCTCTAATATCGCAAGTCAACAAAGTCGCAACTTCAACACTGTAAACGATTAGGCATGAAACTGTGAACGAGACATAGTGCGGGATGCAAGACATGTGTTGCATAGTTCAACATTGGGCCATTGGACTTCGAGAGGAATATATGTCAGAATGAGCACACATTTTCCGTTATCTTAACAACTTCCTCATCCACATAACGACTTACTCATCCACATCTTCATCTCTACTTCAGTTTCTTTTTCTTCCCCACGCGCGACGCGGTGCGCCGGGAGGCGTCCAGCGCCAGCTGCGACTGCCGGCCGGCGCGGCCTGTCTTCTTCTCCTCGTCCTCTGCTGGCGGCTCGGGCTCGGCCAGCGCCGGCTGGCGGCGGAGCAGCAGCACCGCCAGCTGCGGGTCCCCGTCGGCTGGCGTGCCGGTCAGACAGAGCCGCAGCAGGCCCGGCCCCAGGCGCGCCTGCTCCTCGGCCGGCACCGACTCCTGGTACCGCAGCGCCTCCAGGAAGGCCGTGGCAGCCGCGCGGTGTATGCCCGGGTTATATGCAAGGCTGAGGCTGGCGAGGGATAGGTTGCCCGGGTTCAGTCGACGGCCGTTCTCGGGTCGAACCAGCGTCATTAGAGGATGCACCACACTCGACATTAGTGATTCCACACTCTCTCGGATGGTCTGCACGGGATGGGCGTCCGAACCGCGTGGTGCCGCCGGAGCGACCGGCGCCGCGAGCTTGGCCGGCGAGCGGCCCGAGCGGGAGCCAGTCCGCTGGCCGCTGCTGCGGAGCGAGCCCGCCGGACTAATGCGGCCGTCTCCAGTGTCTGGCTCGCTGCGCCGGCTGGTGTGGGTACATTTCCCAGCGCAGCACGAGCCGCGTCCCTTCAGCTCGCTCTCGACACGTGCTACGAGCACGCGGCGCGCCTCCGCTCGCGCGCGTCGGCTCACCACCACCTCTTCGTGCGTCATGGGGAACGGCTGCAGGACGGCCGCCAGCGCCAGGGCACCCTTCGTGCCGATGTGGTTCCTGGTCAGTCCGATCAGCCTCAGCTGTCTGTTGGAGCGTAGGATGGTGGCCAGGGTGACAGCGCCGGCGTCCGTCAGCCGGTTGTTTCCCAGGTTGAGGCTGCGCATCGGCAGACAGGTGTACCGCAGCTCGGTGTGGGTATTCAGCTCGCTCAGTATCGGCTGTAACTCGGCCAGTTGTTCGTCGGTGACGCAGCAGTTACGGAGTGAGAGGGACAGAACGTTGGCCGGCGGCGCGAGCAGCCGCGTCACCTGCGTGCCGATGCCCGGGTTCGAGTCCAGGTTCAGTGTGGTGACAGTGGGGCGGTCGGCGAGCAGCGCCACCAGGGCAGCCACGGCCGACTCGTCCAGCGCCGCGTTGTTGAGGCTGAGCGTGGAGAGCGCCTCCATGGCGCTGAAGCAGCGCCGCATGGCGGTCAGGTGCTCGGCCTCGCAGCGCCAGCCGGCCACCTGGACGCCGTGCGCGGCGCTGCCCAGCTGGCCCGACTCGGAGTCGCGCTGCACCACGTCACCGCGCACCTGGAGCCGCACGCGCGGCTGGTAGAACTCGTATCGCTCCGTGATGGCCTGCAGCTGCTGCTCGTACCGGCTGGGCGGCGGCGGCGGCGGCGTCTCGGTGGCCGGCTCCTCGGTGACGGTCAGCTCGGGCGGCGGCGGCGACTCGACGTCACCGGCCGGACTGCTGGTCAGCGGCGCCAGCACCACCAGCTGCACGGCCGGCGTGAACTCGACGCCCATCTCCTGCGTCACGGCCGGCAGGTCCACGGCCAGGTCGCCCGTCAGCATGTACGAACTCGCCGCCAGGCTGGCGTCCCGGTTCATCGCCACGGCGCTCATCAGAGACTTGCGCCGCTTGCCGGCCGACTTGTTGTTCTTGTCCTTCTTGCCACCAGCCACCATCGTATCAGTTGTTTCCGAAATGGTGAAGTCAGAATCATGGAATCCGAACCGCTAATCAAAATCCCAAAGGTGCCAGCAATCACGACAGGTCATCTACGTTTGGAAATCGAAAGATGTCAACATTAATACTTGGTTCCCCTGTTTACATAGCAAATCTCACTTCAATCCTGACTGACTTCATTTATGAGCTACGCCCCGAGCCTTGCGCGAGCCAAGGTCCATAGGGCGCGAGCCCGAGGCTCAATATCGGTCTCGAATTTTCAGGGTCATAGCCACGTGCCGCAGCTGGATATGCTCTCCGAGTTAACGATGTTTAGCATGTTTCTGAGGTGACCTTGTGTTTTACTGACCGAACAGACAAGTTACAAGGCTCATGAAACCCTACCCTTGCATGCATTGTAGTCTGCTACAGTTGGCATTGTAAGTTTGTCTGGGCAGGTCTGTTTCTCAAGTTGCAGAGATGTAAGAGGCTAACGTACACCGCATATGCACCGTATATGATATATGCAAAATAGTTTTCAACAACATCAGGAACGACCCAGCGCAGGCGTTGAGGTGACCACTGACCACCAACCAAAACGGCATGTCTGCACTGGTAACGTTTTAATGCACGCAGGCACCACACAAAGTACATGTTCATCGTCACCCTGCAAGTAAAACGGGTCAGGTCACATCAATGATATGTTCCATTTTTAAATATCACATTCATTGGACATCTAGCATAATTGAACATCACTATCGCATTGAAGTTATCACACGATTTTGAAGATAGATAAACACATCGCCGCATACAAAAGGCACGTTTTTACTTTGACCATGAGCTTTGCGAAGAGCGTACGGAGCACATCTAATGCAGCGAAATGTTTTGAAACACGCCAACAAATCGATATTTCACCAGCAAGTCTTCAGCAGACATAACACACATTCATGGTGTAGCGCTACATTTTGATTACAATGTCCAAGGCACTCGTTATCATCAGAAAACACCGACTCCAGATCACGCAGCCCGTAGGTCACTGATAAAGTCCAACACTGCACGACTCTGGACAGCGTTAGTTAATACGAGGCAGCGCTGCGCCCTGCGTGCTCCTCTGGGGGTCCCTGTGAGGCTGATGACGGCTCGGGTCCCCCAGCTGCGGCCGTCAGTCGATAGGAGGCAGCACAGAGTCCCTCTGAGAATCCCTCTGCGACTCCTGCGGGTTCGCTGTTGGCGGGGGTGTCCGCATTATTCGAGGTCGCGAGCTGAATGCTGCCAGGTAGTCGCTGACTCTGAAACAAATATGAGATACATGTTAGCCAGGAATGAAGTTGTGCAGAATGTCATGGCTGCCGAAAGCGTGCAGGAAAAACAACACAAACTTCAAACTTGTACACGATTTTGGTGAACTTTTATATCTAAGCCAGGTCTGCTCCACTCGAGCCATATGATAAGACTGACTTGAGCCTTCATAAATGAGCTAAGGGCTCTTTAGTCCCCACAATTACAAGATACGTCTATTCTGCTGTGAGCATGCATCTATTTTCCATTGAACTGAGTCTGACACTGTCACTGACTGACTTTGTGATACGCTTCGAACCGTCTATGCACTCACGCGGGCACGGGCAGTCTCTGGATGAGTGGGTCCGTCACCGCCGGCGGCACCACTGGGACCGGCGCAGGTGGCGCTGTGGACAGCGCTGTGGACGGCGCTCCGGCTCTGCCAGCGGTGGTCTGCGCCTGGGGACCGGCCGGCTGGCTCTCCTTTGTTGACACCGGCGCAGCAGTAGTGGCCGGAGCGCGCTCTCCATCTGCTGGGGGCTGAGCCGGCGGCTGACCCGCAGCCGAAGCCGGTGGAGCCGTCTGTGCACCGGTACCGCCCTCAGACGCGGGCAGCGGGCCGGCGGTGAGGGTCACTGCCAGCGCCGGAGTCACCGCAGATGTCAGCGCCGCTGTCGCCGCCAGCTTCCGAGAGACGGCGGCCGGAGCTGATGTTGACGTCTTGTTCTCCGAGTCTTGTCGGTGGGAGTCGGGAGGCGCCTTTGGAGCGGAAGCTGCGGACTCTGAGGTGCGACTCTGCGGCTCCGGAGGTTTGGAGGTACTGCCAGCCGCTCGACGCCGCACCTGAGGGCTCTGGTCGCTGGTCGGGGGAGATTTGACCGGACCGGTCTCCCGCCGACGGCTCTTGGAGTCACTGCTCGGCGCTTCTCCTGAGTTACCGGTCTTACCTGGAAAAAGGAACTGAACAGCTCAGAGGCGTGCTAGAATAACGTGAGACATCGTAGATATTCATACTGTCATTCGCATTAGTCTGTCACAGTCCACAGAATAGATCTGGATTTGTGCTAAGTTCGCTCACCTTGCAATGTCCTCGTCAGTTTTCCTTCGTCGAGCGTCGGTCTGCGCTCCAGCAGTCGCAGCGGGGCCACCTGAGACGGGGGTTTGCTCGTCTGCCGCTGGACGGCGCCGCGTTCGCTGGTGTTCTTCCGCCGGCGGTGAGGGGTGACCTCCGGCAGCGGCCGGACAGCGGCGGCGGCGGCGGCGGCGGCGGCGGGGATCTGCGGCAGCCGGTCCCGCTCTGTCGCCGCCGCCGGCCGTCTGGCCAACTCCGCATCCGAGTGGCTCTTGGTGACCGGGGTCGAGCTGGGATGGGTCGCCGTCATCGACATCGAGTCGTCGCGCCTGGGAACACGTCAGCTGGTGTCACGTCGCGCCACTGAATATTTCGGCACAATATGAATATTTTACCACCTCCTTCCTCGGTGAAGGCCCATAAATTCGTGTTGGCACATGGACGTCCCGTTTAGTCACGCAGGGCACAATTGTGTTGCTGCGCGTTTACCATGCCTCTTGGATCACCCGGCCCGACCTCGCGAGCTTTACAGAAAACTGTCCTACCGAGGTAAAACTCGATTCCAGGACAAAAAGTCAAAAGACAAAATGTCAAAAGACAAAAAGTCAAATGCAAAAAGTCAAAATGGATAAAAGTCAAATGGAAAAAAGTCAAATGGAAAAAAGTCAAATGGATAAAAGTCAAAACGGATAAAAGTCAAAAGCAAAAAAGTCAAATGGCAAAAAGTCAAAATGGCGAAAAGTCAAAAACGCAAAAAGTCAAATGGCAAAAAGTCAAAATGGCGAAAAGTCAAAAACGCAAAAAGTCAAATGGCGAAAAGTCAAAATGGCAAAAAGTCAAAAACGCAAAAAGTCAAAAGCAAAAAGTCAAATGGCAAAAAGTCAAAATGGCGAAAAGTCAAAAACGAAAAAAGTCAAAAGCAAAAAAGTCAAAAGGCAAAAAGTCAAAATGGCGAAAAGTCAAAAACGCAAAAAGTCAAAAGCAAAAAGTCAAATGGCAAAAAGTCAAAAAACGCGAAAAGTCAAAAGACAAAAAGTGAAAAAACGGCAAAAAAGTCAAAATGATAAAAATCAAATGGAAAAAGTCAAATAAGAAAAAGTCAAAAGTAAAAAGTCATATCTAAAAAACCATAAGACAAAAAGTCAAATGATCAATGTCAAAATTCCCAAAAGTCAAAAACCATAAGCCAAAAGCAAAAAGTCAAAACCGCAAAAGGTCAAATTAATAAAAGTCAAATGGAAACAAGTCAAAAATCAAATATGTAGAAAGTCAAAAGAAAAAAGTCAAATATTAATAATTTGTATTGTCTTATTGTAAAACGAAACTAAAAAAAAACCTTAGTCAAAGCCACTTGAAGTGAAAACGATTAAATTCAAATGGAAATAAGATAAACAAGACATAGTCAAAAGTCAAGAGTCGTTCATTAAACATATGCATCAACCCTCGCATGACCAGCGGGTCGATGCGACCCGTGACGTTTTCTCGCGATAGCTTCCGAACGACGCGGCGGATCGTGATGAGAATTTGCAAAGCTGATGGGGCAACCCTTGCGCATATTTTAGTACTAGATGCCGGCATCACTACCGTGTTGCCTTGGACCAGAAACGGAGGCGAAAATGTTTGGAATGAGTGAGATTCGAACCCGCGACCTTTCTATTTGTAAAGAGTTTTTTGGTCATATCACGTGCTACGTTTATGCTAGAGCGCTCATTCTTTCAGCATCTTGTAGCGCTTCTCGAGTTCTATCAGTGTGCCAAGTTTCATGGTGCTAGCTCAATAGATGACGGTTTTAGAGCGTTTTCCGTGAAAAACGTTTTTTGCCTCTGGCACGTGCAGCTTGCACCCCTCCGGGACCGAACCCCCCTAGGATGAAGGTTCACTATGGGGAGCATGTGGCCTGTGAGTATGGCGGCTGTATCATCATCCGTTTGGCCTGTAGCCCTGACAACAAATTTTTGCAGAGCCCCACGTGGCGGCACGTGACACGTGACACGTGGCATGGATCGCCACGTGACTGACGCCATCGTCTTTCCGGCGGATCGTTGCGTCTAATGGTACCAACCCCGTCCCGATCGGACCAGCCGTTTCGGCGCTAGGACCCAAAATGCTCGACAGACAGACACACACACAAACACACACAGACTCACACAAGGCCGTATAAGAGGACTCACAGGCCCGAGCCAACTTCTCCGCAGCGACCTCCCAATGGGAATCTTCGTTCGCTCGGGCGCGCTACGCGCGCCCTCGCTCACTACGATTCTGGATAATAATTTTGACCAGGTCAGGTCACAAGTTATGATGTCATAAGAGATACAGCCTCCGGCTGACTTTTCAATGGAATGGACCTATGGGCGTATGGAAGCCACATAACTATCTGGCCGCTAGCCACATGCCAAATATCAGCGCAATCGGTCCAACCGTTCTCGAGATATAGAAGCGCGGTCTGCACGTGCGCACGTGCTGGAACACCCCTTTACTGACACACTGACATGAATTGGTTGTTGGGTGCCCAGCTGTGTCCCAAGTCTCAGCCCAATCGGTCCAGCCGTTGTGCGGTTATTGAGGATAATAGTTTTCGGGTGTGTGCAAAGTACCCCAAGTTTAGCACGCGCCACGTGCCAAGATCGACACTCAGACAACATGGTGTCCATGCCATACAACTTTTACATC